AAGGAGTTAGAAGTTTTCTGGTGTGTAGCACAGAGGATGCATACAGACTCTGCAACATTCATCCAGCGAACAGCCAAACTGCTTGGTCACTGTGGACATAACCAGTGTTTCCTTCTCAGGTTCTCCTCTTTAAGTCAGCTTTTACTTGCCATAGAAGATTGTCATGAGGAGTAATTACTTAGGCCAGAACTTTCAAGATGGGCAGTGCCTGGGGTTTCCAGGGAGACTAATATCATCTTCAGAAAGAGGTGGATGTCTTCTGAAAGTGCCACTAGCTGTTTGTACATTCAGAGCTGCTAATTGCATATAAGTACTAGTCCTAATATTTGGTATAAGAGGTAGTGAAAAGTATAAATATTGAAATCCTGTTGGTTAACGATACTGTGTAGAAAGGCATGTAAAATATAGTTTATTCAGAGTTTGTAGGTGAAGCTCTGTGGGTTCTCAAACATGAGAGTTTGTTACTCTCATGTGACTTAGAATATCCTAATATTTGGTCTAAGAGGTAGTGAAAAGTATAAATATTGAAATCCTGTTGGGTGACGGTGTTGTGTAGAAAGGCATGTAAAATATAGTTTATTCAGAGTTTGTAGATGAAGCTCTGTGGGTTCTCCATTTGTTACTCTCATGTGACTTAGAATATTGGCATTTATTTTTCAAAAGTGACTATAAACAGGAAACCTTTCCTTTCAATGGGGGTGCAAGGTTCCAGCAGCCAGGTTAGTGTTTCAGGTATTTGCAGACAATCCAACAGATAATTAGGAGTAACGTGGCCAGGTTGTGTGAATCTGTTCTTTGGCATTATAAAACAGTGATGGAAGCATACTAAAACTCTCAAGTTAGCTTAAGCTTGGCTTAAAAAAATGAAAGGGGGAGGGTGTGGGGAGAAGGCAACCACCAAGTTATTCTTGCTTTAGCTACGTTTATTTCTTGCTGATGTTACAAAGATAAATTTTGGTGTGTTAAATAAATAAATAAGCACTTGTGTTTACTGTTCAAGGGGGAGACGCCGCTTGACCTGGCTCGTGAAGCTCAAAATCACTTCATTGTTTACATGCTAACGGAGGAAGAAAGAACAAGAACCAGAAAAAGCAGCAGGTTACTGAGAATAGTAGAGAAATATGAGGTAACTTTGTGAGGAAAAACTGGTAGAAATAAAGCTACAGCATTATATGGTTAGAATAATGTATGACTTCCTTCTTCTGTAACAGCACAGGTTACCTCTAAGGTTTCCAAAATGGGGCACATAAAAAGTAAATAATCTGTAATCACATAGGTGTGGGGTATCTGTGAGTCTCTGGTGGTTTGTTATGTTACTCTGTGTTTTCTCTCAGTACCCTTCATTGTTATATTACCTGAATACCTGTATTTGAAGTAAATCTTGCTTGAATGTTTTCTCGTCTGTAACAATAATTCAACAATCATTTTAATAGATTCTCCTGCTGTTGGCATCTTCCTTGACGTTGATGTGGCTCGTAGGATATGTAATGGACTTAAGTTCTGATTCGTGGCTTTTGAAAGGAAGTCTGCTTCTCTTGATACTGTTTGGAATGAGTCTGTTCGTGAGGTTGGTAAACTTTATTTGTCATGGATGCCATATTTGGCATCTGATGCAATGTTCTTTTCAAAGTTTATAATTTCATTTGGTCTGTAAAATAATTATTGAACAAGTGGTTGCTACTTCTGTACTGGATTTAGTTTTATATTTATGTAGAGAGATCATTTTCAGAATGACAGTAGAAACCAATCACTTTCAGTTGCACGAAACAATAGTTTATCAACACTGAAAATCCGAGGAAAAACAAGTCTTACTAAGCAGACTGTTAAGTAACTTTTATGTTAAAGAGGTTTTTATTGAAGATCTGCACCTGGTGCACATTGAGATATCCATTCACATGTTTAAAACCGTACTTTGTCATCTTTGTCGTCTTGGTTTGTGACACAGTATGAGTTTTTAATTAACTATTCCTGCCCTCTGTTACCCAGAATGGTCAGCATTATCCCAAGCTATTCTTCAGGTTTCCTGCTTACTCCTGCAGTTATCTTAACAGTGTCTATTGAAATGACAATACTACCTGTGTGTACAAATAAACAGAGGTTGTATTTTTCACACACTGCTACAAAATTCTGGTATTTAATGGTAGACTGCAGTAACCACTCGTCAGGTTGGTTTTTTTTTTGGTTTTTTTTTTTTTTTGGCTTTTTTACTCCTGCACACGTTTGGCTAAAGAATCTATTTGAGCAGTAGCTTTTAATTGCTTGAAGGTATCCTGAGTAAAGGTTTTAACACCACAAAAGACAAATTTGTCTGGTATCTTAAGTTTTACATAAAATCTGCCTGTTTTTTATTATTATTATTATCTTATTATTATCTTTCAGGCGATTTGTGGGGCTCAGAAATCTAAGGTATCTTCCTACAGCCTTTATGCTAAGTTCAGTGTTTTGGATGTCTGTGACCTGGTTTGTCTGGTTCCTGCCTGATATCCTTTATACTTGGGGAATGGGATAGGACTCTACTTAGAGTTCCCAGTAAACCTAAACCAGTCATACAAATAGTAATCATCAGTCCCAGATGATTTCATGAGACTATTAAAATCTGGTAAGATTTGGTTTACTTTATTGGGTGGGGGGTTTATAACTTTATAACTCAGAATCATTAGATGGACTAAATAAATATGCCTTTATCTTTACATCTGTATAAGACAAAATAACCTTGAGGTTAAGCACTCGGTTTTAAAAGTTACTTGCAGTATCCTGGCTCTGTGACTACTGAGGTGGAATCTGTACTTGGGCTGTTCCTGAGGAGCCTGAGCTCTCAAGTTAGGAGGTTAGAGTTAACCATCTTGACAAGATTTTTTTCCCCTTTCACTGGATTTATGAGCTTCTGTCTTTCATAGAGTGCAGGTTCTGTATCTAATGATTACATATACTCAGTTGTGTATAAATGAGCAACCTAATGTTTGTGATTTAGATGTTTTGTGTTCAAAGGTAAAAGTCTGCACCCAGTTAATGAGAGTGGCAGGGAGCTTTATTGCAATGCAGGCTCCTAACAGTTGTAAAAAGCCTCTCCCCAGAGCTGAACTAGATACAATATTCAGCTTCTCTGATAGATGGCCTCTGAGGAACAGAGAAAATACTGCCATGAAAGTCATTTTCCTTTTTGTGTATTGCTTGAGTAGGTATGATTTGTCTACCGAATAGTGGTAATATATAACACAAGCATATGTTCCTTAATCTAAATACTGCATGTAGCTGGCACAATTCTCCAAGCTACTGTTGTGTTCAGCATAGTGGGTCTACTTTATTATTTCTATAAAACTTGGAGAACTGATCCTGGATACATTAAGATTTCAGAAGAAGATAAAAAACAGGTAGGTAATTCTGTAAAACAAACGGAAGGGCTAACCTGTGATGACGTGTGTGTGCTCTTGGTTGGTTTGCCTTCTTGTGTGTCTTTGTTAAATCTGCAAGCAGTGAAATACTGATTTCTTTTAAGACTTCTTAGCTCTGTCATCAAACAGCATAGATTGTAAATAATTCTTCCTGTCGGTGCTTGTCTCCTTACCTTCTTCATCCCGCTGTTGTCTCCTTCCTGCGTCTTCTCGTTGAAATGTGAGCCCCAGCTAAACATCATACAGACCCACGCCACTGATGCTGTCTGTGATGTTACATCAGGTAGAAATTCACTTAAACATAACTGTTTTGTGTGGTGTTCACTGCAGCTATCTAAACATAGTGATATTCACAGTTCTACAATTCTTCATGCTCATAAGCTATCCTAAGTGCTAGAAATGTTTTAAATTTTGTTGGGTGCTTTGAAATTGTGTCCTGTGCTTTACTTTTGTAAAACGTGGCGTTTTGTATTTGTGGCAAGAAAAATCCATGGCCAAGCAGGCAAGTTGATGTTGGGTATAAGCGAGGCGTTCCCAACAGGTGCTAAGGACAGCATCTGTTGGTGCTCTCCATGGGCTTGCATTTCTTGAGGCTGCAAGGGAGAGTAAACAAAAATTTTAATCTAGTCAGTGTTGTCACAGGACTAGTAAATATGGGAAATACTGCCTACTCAGTACTGATAGAGTAATGCTAAATATAGCCTCTCCCCTCATCTCCTAGGGGTCTGATTGACTGTATGAGAGAGATCTTGTGTCTTAATACGATCCCATTTTTGAAGAAAATACATTAACATTATTAATTTTGACAACGTACAGCCTTTCTTCTTTTTCTTTCTTTCTTTTTTTTTTTTTGTTATACTGCATGAATAAAATTGTATTAGTCTATGCCATGGTCTGTCTTTCATGAGTCTTTTTTGTGTCCATAAATAGCAAGTGCTTTTCATACTGGTGCTTGGCACTTGGTGCTTACCATCTGCAAATGGCCTAATGTTAAAAGGAAATCTTCCCAGAGCCCCTGAAACGGTGTTCTAACTGCTGCTGCAAACGGCTTTGTCTTCCAGAACATTGTTCTGCATGAATAAAAGTGTATTAATCTGTGCCATGGTCTGTCTTTCATGAGCCTTTTTTTTGTCCATAAATAGCAAGTACTTTTCGTACTGGTGCTTGGCAGTTGGTGCTTACCATCTGCAAATGGCCTAATGTTAAAAGGAAATCTTCCCAGAGCCCCTGAAACGGTGTTCTAACTGCTGCTGCAAACGGCTTTGTCTTCCAGAACATTGTTGCTCTCGCAGAAGCTGGGTGCTTGGACTTCAGGACGTTCTGCACCTCGTGTCTTGTAAGTGAGCTTTTGATGTTTATGCTTTGAGTAAAAGCTAGGTTAAAAATAGAGTAATTTAAGAAAAAAAACCTTTTTCTTCTTCTATTTTCATGTAGGTATCACATGTAAAGTTTGTTGTGTTTTTTTTTTTTTTTTTTTTTTTTTTTTTTCCTCAGAGGGTGGCAAAACAGCGCTGTGAGGCCCTGGCTACTTTTACTATGACCTTATTGTTTTTGGTCTACTAGGTAAAGAAGCCCTTGAGATCTATGCATTGCCTTGCCTGTGATTCCTGTATAGCCAGATATGATCAGCATTCTCTATGGTTTGGACAGTGCATAGGTGAGAGTTTTGTTTTATCAAATTTGGAAATACCATCTATTAAAAGGGTGGCAGTGCTAGCATTTATGGCCTGAGAGACAGCAAACCTGATATAATATGTAGTTGATATTGAAAGGTTCCCTGGAACGTGTGGAGAATAACTAGTGAGGTGGCAGAAAGACAACCAAGGTGATTAATGGGATGGAATGGTTGCCTTAAAAGCCTAGGACTCCTGTTTTGAGTGAAGGAGGAGGAGGGAATGATAAGACTGAGACTCAAAATTGTTGAAAGTGATAGTTAAAGTGAATGTAAAACTGTTAAAACTGTAAAAATTCCGGTTGTAACTCAAAGAAAAATAACATCTTCATATAACAGTTTTTCTGGCAGAAGTCTCTGTCTTTTTATATGAATGTTTGCTATTCTGAAGAAAACAGGTCAAACAAATTCTAACAGATTTTTTTCAGTCATACAAAGCACTATACTGTGCTTAATGAGAGCTGTGGTAGCAGAATCCATTCTTTTGTACCAAAAACCATCAAAGGCAAGGTCTGAAGAAGGGACACATTCTCTTCGGCTTTATAAGGAATAATCCTATTGAATAAATTGGGATGGTAACAGGAGAAAATTGAGAAAGAAATTAGCTTTGTCAGCCTTTATCAGCAAATGCAAATACTTTTTAAAATAAAAGATGTCAGCATTTTCTTTCCCTTGCACCAATACAGGCATTGGCAACCATCGTTATTATGTATCGTTCCTGTTTTTCCTAACTTTGACTGGTGTCTGGCTGCTTTATGGGACTCTTCTGTGTATGTATTCATGAATTTATTCTAATTTTGCTTTTTTTTTATATCGGACTCTTGCAAAAACCTCTTTTTGTTGGTAACATAATGCAAACTTTGAAAAGAGAACTGCACGCTCATTAGTAAATATGAGATGTTTGAGGTAAATTATAGGTACTTGCCTTAAAACCATGAATAAGCGTGAAGCCAAAATTCCAGACAATGAAAGATGATGACTTAGTGTCACTAATAGCTTTATTTAAATACCTAGCTAGTGCCTTAAATGCTCATTAAGTGAATTACAAACATACAGTGGAAAGATTATGCACAATAGCAAGCAGTCAAATATATAGTGTACTAAACAAGATATTTTTAGAGCATGTTACCCTATGTGCAAATATTCTTTGTTCTGTTCTTAGGGAGTCTGTATTAAAAATATAATTAGCTATTTGTGTTTATTATCAGATTGGTCAAACCACTGTGCAACGAGTTACCGTGAAGACGGAGCATGGACTTACTTCACCCAGATCGTATATTGCTCCCCGTGGGTTTTCTACATCTTTGCACTGGCCTGTTTCCATACTGTGTGGGCTTCATTGCTGCTCATTACTCAGCTTTATCAGGTACTGTTTTCCTTTACTTTGTGTTCCCCTCTTAAGGAACAATCAAATAAAAATATTTCCCTAGATGAATTACTGCCTTGGGGATCTTGTGCCTGCTTTCCTTATCAAGTTAATGGGATGTCTAGGGGCATATTCTGAATCCTAAGGCAATTCTTTTGAGCTTTGCAGGTTCTTGTGCACTTATTGTTCCCTGTAAATTTAGATCACAGTCAGCAAATCATTCTTGTATCCAAGTTCTTGTTTTACTGCTCATTAAAAATCCCAAACCTGTAAGAAGGAAAGAAAGTATAAAAAAAAAAAAAAAAAAAAACAGTATTTGAAGGCCAGAAACTTTGACTAATAGAGCTCGTGTTTGTGCCTAAAAACATGGTATGAAAGCTCTGCCCGTGGCACAATTATTTCTGAATTGAAAATTCTCTAGCCGAGCTTAGCAGTGCGTTATGAGCCCATATGAAGCGCCCTTGCTGCAGTGATTTTTATCCTGATAAGGAGTGTCAGACTTCCCTGAGTTGATTTCTTCTGTTGTTTTTCTTAGAGAGAGCTTGGCTAGGCAAGGAAATTTGAAAAGAGCTGTCTTAAAACATCTGGGAAGAAGCTTGTTTTCAGAAAGATGTGTCTTTTGGATGTATGTCAAGCATACTGCACTAGAGAGTTGTTTTACATCTTAGATTTCTTTAAAAATATCCACCATTGTATGTGAATATTCAATGTGTACAGCTAGATTTCTTTCATGTCACATGCATTGGGATAACGTCTTGTGGCAGAGGGAAGGATCTAGTTAGGATCCTAACATTACCCATTGTATCTTGTGCATACGGTAATTCGTAAATGTACTGTTTTATGGCCCAAGCCAACATTCAGTGAAGCAACCATGCAGCCATTTATAAAGGCTTAGAAGATCATATTGATCAAAAAAATATAAAAGTGGATAACTAAGCAAAAATGCTGAAGCAAAACATAAATCTGATTGTGAAACTCCCATGAAAAGATGACACAGAATCAAGAAAACATTGAAGTTGAGATTGGATTTCTAAAATCTTTTTTTTTTTTTTTTTTCCAAGCTATTTCATCTTTTCCAGTGCATGAAATAACTTCTGTGGTTAAAAATTGGAAGAGACGAGTGCTGAACTGCTGTAGTCGTGTATATTTCTGTAGATATCTAGGTGCAATCATCCCATTAAGCTTGCCTTCTCAGTGGAAGTATTCCTGAGTATTCCTGTCAGGACTTGCTGGACTCTCAGTCTAAGTGACATATTTAGAAACACATTTTTCTGTTTCTGTGTGTGGCAGCAGCAGCCTGTTTGTCAGATATAACAACCCACTTCCCCTACCTCCCATGTAAATAGTAATATTTGAATTGAAATAGTAGGTACAAATCTTTTGATGTCACTGCAGTTTTAATTTCTGAGATGTTCGTGTATCTTTCAACCATTACTCACTTCTCTTTCCTGAAGGTTACGTTTCTGGGCTTGACCTCACATGAAAGAATGAACCTCCTGATGCAGAGCAAGTCCTCTAAGCACCCTGTTTCACTCAGGAGAACTCCATACAAGTAAGTGCTGCTGAAGACTATACAAGTCTTCAGCCCTAATTCACTAATTTGTGTCCAGAGAGAGAAGAAAATCAATGGACCCCTTTCTGACTTCTAGATAAACTGGTGCCAGAGTTCTTGTGTTGTACTAGAAATACTTCCTCATCCTTGTGAGGTTAGGCTTTTACTAGATACTATTTTTAAATGTTCAAGTTGAACATTATTTTCCATGTTAAATGAAACAGAAGCTGAAAGACCCACACAAAGGAATAATGCTGACTAGAGGAGAACTCTTCTGGTGTTACTTACAATGCTGACCGTGAAGACAGCTCTTGATCTTAAACATTGCATCATGGTCTGAGCCTATCTTTTGTTGCTTGCAGTCTTATTTTGTTAGCTTTATTAATTGCTGTTTTTCTCATTTTCAGTCTTGGATGCTTCCAGAATCTTGCAGACTTTTTTCAGTGCGGATGCCTCGGTATGTTCAAACCCAATGTGATTGATTGGACCAAACAGTACAATCTCCTTCATCTGGCAAAGGAGAGAAATCTTCATTCTGTGTGATGAAAAGTATTGCTGAATTTCTAAAGTAGCTGAGCTGAATGCTAAATAAAATGGGCTATTCTTTAAATCTTTACAAATTCTTCTCTAAGTGGCTTGTTTTAGTTTTTATTATTGTTTTAAATAGTAAACTACATTGCATAAAATGCACAAGGTTTGAATATGAAACAGTCATTGTATGCCCAAATATATAGTTTCAGCTGAAACTGTGCAAATTTCATATGATTGAAATGACACCAAGAATGCGTTTTTTTGTGGTGGTGGTGGTGTTTTTTTTTTTTTTTTTTTTTTTTTTTTTTTTTTTTTTTGTAAGGTAAGTATTTTTTTGTTTTGCTCTAAGGCAGAATTTCAAAACTTTATTGACATCCTTTGCTTTGTTTTGCAAATTGTTTAAACAAAGACAAGGGAAACTTTTTTTTTTCTTTTTAATCTTGTATTATAGTTGCAGTGTAATTTGTTGCTTATGTTATGTAGCGAGAATCTCAAAGATCATCTCTGAATTTGTGTGTAAAGGGGGTTGCATGTGACAAAATAGAACTTTTATGCTTGTAAGTAAATTTTACAGACTGTTCGAAATACACTCAAGGGATAGATAACCCATGAAATAGTTAGCAAGGTAAGGAGAACACCATCAGCAGAAGTCTGACTTTCTGAGAAACACATCGAGGTCAGAAAATAAAAGATTATTTAAATATCATCCAGCATCTGAGGCTAAGAATGCAGAGGGGTTTCATTTAACTTGGTGAAATGCATCAATTTATCGCACTGTAAGACACAAAGAGTGAGCAAAGTGAAATAACATGAAAGCTGCCTCGGTACCTTATTGTAGCTTGGAAACATAAAATAGCACAATACGGTTTTCTAAGAAAATATCTTTTCGCAGAAAAACTTCGTTCTTGGAGAGATTTCAAATCCTCATCAACTGTCTCAAAGTGCATAGCAGCTGCTTTGCCGTAGCACAAATAATGTCAAAATGTTCAGAACATCACTAGGAAATTGGCAGAAATAGCATAATATTCTAAATGAAGGGAAATTTGTCTTAGGTCAGCATACCTTGACCTTTGTGCTAATAAGGTTTTCTCCATCTTAATGGGTAGAGTTTAATCTTTCTCCATCTTAATGGGTCCCAAGTCTTTAAAGTTCCTGTCTGAAGTGTGATAAATACCAGTTTAAAAAGCAATAAGGTTTTGCTAGCTTTTATTTGCTGTGTATTTATATTACTTATTTACTGCTTGATATACAGTTCACAAAAATATATTTATATATTCTTTTCCTCAAAGGTAAGTGGTTCTTTTTTATACGCTTAAGAGGTTGCAGAACACTGCTCTATACAGTGTTTTCTACAGAAATCCAGACTTTGCCAGGTGAAAGTAATTCAGATAAATTATTGAGCGCTAAAAGGGGACCTGAAAAGCCTTTTGCCAGCTCATGGCTGCACGTCTAGGACTGACGAGAGTGAGTGACTGGGGTTAGCCCGGCCGGCTGGGCTGCGCGACGCTCGTCCGCTGCAGCCTTTAGAAGGGCTTGTTTATCACTGTGCATCATCCTGACGCTGTTGTTTAATTATCTCCGCAGTTGTCCGAGGCCTGACCCAAGCACGAGGGTAGCAACAAGCTGGCACCATCTGGTAGCTGTGTGGAATTAGAGATTAGCAAGACTGGGGGGTGTCTGTGTGTTAGCGGAGCTGGGCAGACCATCAGGTGCCAAGCTGGGACCTCTCGGAGGTTACCAAAACTCAGCCGCCCCCAATCCCATCTAAAGCCGCTTTCTTTCCTGGCAATGCGGCCGGCGGGGCCGTGGGGAGGCTGTGGGCGAGCCTGCCCGGGGCCCACGAGAGGGTGCTGCTGGCCCGGCTGCCAAAAACCCCTGGGGAGCCGCCGCTCCTAATTCCCACCGTAAACGAGCTGGGAAACAGCGGCATCCAGCTCCTTCTCCAGTGGGATTTTGTGCCTTCGGAGAAGGGGCTGCGCTTTGGGGGAGCCGAGGGCCCTGGCTCTGCCAGGGTCTTGGGGTACTCTTGGAGAGGATTTAGCTTGGAGAGGTTTTGACTGGCTTCAGATGGTGCCACTTGGTTCAGTTTAACTGAAGCCTGTTTCCAATCCCCTTTAGCTAAACTGAGCATTTTTAGGTAGAAGCACCCGCCAGGCTCCC